CATACACAGATTTCTGTAGAGAAAATAGTTCCGTTATGAAAGTATGTTGGAAGAGGGCTGTGGTCAGATATATATTGGGAAAGGTAATGGTTGGTGTTGCAAAGTTATCAACTCTTCCGATTTCCAATAATACTCCTACTGACTCAATCTTCAGCATATTTCTCCTGATTTTCTCTTTTAAATTTCTCATGATTTTTCTATAGTTTGTCTTACTATGTTATTTGCACCAAAAAAAGTGATTTTGAGTGTATGAAAGCACTTGGTTGTTCTCTAGATTACATATAAAGAAAAAGCAAACTTGATCATCAGTGAGACATTTTTATCTGGTTTGTGTGGGAGAGTCAGAGTGAGGACAAGGGTGAGGCAAGTAAGGGATTTACCTGAGGTGAATGGGTAAGGGTAAGAGGGGTCCCAAATTAGATGCTAAATTTTAGGATTGCATTTAAAAAATAAATTATGATTATTAACTTCCAGTTTTGAAACATATTCAGAAGTGCCATTTTGAAGTAGCACATTTGAAGTAATATAAAAGGTGCTATATTGTTCAGCAGTTGCGTACAAATATTCTGTGCTTAATAGAGGGAATGATCTAATATTAAATCCCAATAAATGGGTTGGCTGCGTAAAATATTTCATTGTTTCTACCATGGGTAATGTAAATACAAGCTATGTAGTTTCCGCTAGTAAGTCCTCCACGAAAGAATCCCTCTACTTGGACAAATAGCTCTTATATGATTTGCATGTTTAATTAAACAAACATAATAGAAGGAATATCTACAAATGAAAGAAAATTTTCACGTGAAATGTAAAAATTCAACTTTCTCAAGAGAATATAAAAACAAGTGAAAACAAAATGTTTGTAAATCTAAATGTCAGTAATCGAATGTTTATAAATCTAAATGGCAATAATAAAGAACTAATTTTGTTAGAAAAATATTTTGTATAGTAAAAAAAGGAAGAAATTAGAGATATATATAGATTTCAGATCTAAAATAGATACAGTACAAAGTCCGTAATCCGGACTCGTTGGGACTTCGGCGATTCCGTATAAGGGTTTTTTTCCGGATTATAGATCATCAATTTAAATCTGGTAAGATGGCATGCAGAAATTATACAGTTAAAAATATGAAACCGTAATTTATGAAATAAAGAGAAATTATGATCTAAAGGGTATCAAATTTTACAAAAAAAAAAAAAGCTTATTATTTATTTGTTTACTTTATTAAACATTTTCCATGCGTGCATGCGTAGAGCATACATTACATGCATGCGTAATGAATGCGCCCGCATTCTTTACGTACATGCGTAAAGCATACAAAAAAGTTTGTAGCTTTTAAGTTCCGGATTATAGATCATTCCAGGATAATGGACGTCCAGAATATGGACTTTGTACTGTATATAAAAAAATTAATGAGATCCGATTTCCATTTTCTAACTGATGGAAAAGAGCACGTGTATTCGAAAACTTCAAGCACCGCATGGGTCTTCTAATATTCATTAGCCAGTGAGCACAAAGCAAGATCGAGGTTGTTATTTCTTTAGCACTGCCGTTGAGCACTCCTATGTTTTACTTGCTTTCAAAAAATAGCTTAAAAGATTGCAAGCTTTTGTCTTATTTATGTCTGCAAGGAAGGCTAAATACTTGTGTACTTTTAAAAATCTGTACACCGATAACTTTCCTTCTATTTTGTCAAGAAAATGTAATACAGTTGTCGTGTAGGAAACACAGGACCAAAAAGTTAATGCAGAATGCCTGTTCTATGCCTTTTTACTGGAGCACAACCTGCCACTGAATGCATTAGATCATGTTGCAGCTTTATTTAGAAAAATGTTTTCCAATAGCGAAATTTGCTAAGATAACTAAAATGCAAGAACAAAAATGGCTGCATTTTTAAAGAAATGGGTATGAAAAATAAATCATCAGTTATTAATTGCATTAAAACAGCTCCGTTCAGCCTTTCTACAGGTAGAAGCAATAATGCTGATGCAAAATTGTATCCAATTATTGTTTCTTCTTTTAATCCAGAAACTGAGCGTAGTTTACTTTCTGTTCCTTTTTTAGAAGAGGATTCAACAGACTTTAATATAGCACAGCTAATGATTAAAGCTTAAAAAGAAAATGCAATTCCTCTGGATTTGCCTAGCATTTGGAGTCGACAATGCACTTGTAATGGTGCTTGAAGAATAGTATTACAGGCATTTTAAGATTATTCCAATTTGCAAATTGTAAGGTGCACCTGTCACCTCTTAATAGCAGCTGAAAAAGAGGCTGTTTCTTTATCAATTAGTAAAACATATTGTTGATATTTATTACTATTTTGAAAAGAGTTTTAGAAGGAAGACACTGCAAGAATTCCAACAGCTGCATAATACTGAAATAATAAAAATTTATAAATGTATATAAACTCTGGGTTTCTTAGAAAAATGTTTATCTAGAATTAACTAATGAAATCCACTTACATTTTTTAAGGAAAAGAAGTAAGTGGTTCTAGAGTTAAGATGAAAGGTTCTATTGAAAGTTAATAAAGTACCTAAAGTAAACTTTTATTTAAAGATGTAGTTACTACTTCCACTGTTAAAAATGGGTATGAGAAAAATAAAGTAATTTCTTCACATGTAATTTAATTAGCGCAATTCTTAAAATAATACTATAAAGCAGGAGTTCTCAACCGGTGGTACGCAAGAGAAAAATAGGTGGTACGAAAAGAAGCAAACAATTTTTAACTATTAAATTCAAAAATTAAAACCCCAACATCCTGATCGCGTTTTTTCTCTAACACTCGTAAATTTATGCGATATGCGTTCAAGAGTGGTGGTGGTAGGTAGTACTTTGTAGTGATATTACTATAGGTTTTCCATTTTTGTTTAGATGGTACACGTTAGTCTAAAGGTTGAGAACCGCTGCTGTAAAGTACTATAAGTGTAAAGTTGATACTAATTTCTTCCAAAATTTCAAAAAAAGGAAAAAGAAATTGCTCAAGATTGCTTTTTTTTTACCCTTCATTTTGCCATCACAATAAGAACTCCATTAAGTCATGTTTTGCAATCAATGATTAGTGACCTTTTTAAAGACATTTTATCAAAGTTTGTAAAACCAACATCATGTGATTTATGTTAAAATGGAAAATCAGGATAAGATTGTGTAATGTGAATGATATGAAGATTTGGTAATAGGGGTTGCAAATAAAGATCGTGGAAGACAAAATTAAGTTTTATTTCCACATTAGAAACTACTACTGTTGTGTATGTGATTACATACTGCATAAATTTCCAGTCAACAATGAAATGATTTTACTAGATAAAGTTCCAAATTTTTCTGCTCTAGCAACTACATCTCTTTTTCTGATACAAGATGTTTTTGGAATATATTTAGTTTACTTCATTTAGATTTGAAAGATTCGCAACTGATAAATTGCAGCCACAGTTTACAATTGGAAAACTTGGCCAAAGATATAAAACCAGGAAAGATTGACATTTAGTGAAATTTAATTGGAAAACTGAAAAATGCTGATAGGATTTTAAAGTACAATGAACTTTCTAGAATAATTTTGGTTATCCTGGCAATACCCCATAGTAATGCAGAGTGTGAGAGCATTTTCAGTGTTATTAAAACAAGGACTAAATTTAGATCCAATATTAGCAAGTCGTCCATGGAAGCATTCCTTTCCTTAAAGCCAGATTCAAATAACGTAACCTCTTATTTAGCAGTTCAGTGCTTAGCAGTTATACTGAAGGCTGTGAAAGTTGACTACCATCGAACCTCAAAAATTGATGAAGATCCTGCCAAAGTTGCACGAATTGTTCCTGCAGAATTCGAGCACATTTATGCCTTGCAATAAAACATTCATCAATTTCACTGCATACTTCACTGCACACTTCACTGAATAGTACTGCGGAAGTAATCGACTCATCTTAATGCTTGTAAAAAGGTTTTTCATAGATTTCTTCTATTTTATAGATACTTTAACCGGAAGCTTTGTTTGATATGCAATGAATATACACTTCTAACAGCAATTGTTCCAATCTGTTTCTGTCCACCAGTGGCCAAACTGTAAAATTGCTGAAAACTGGTACTTTCGATCTGGGTTTGATTCCCGGCAAACGGGCTGGCTGCATAAGTATTTTCATAGTTTTCCTCATGTATAAGATTTATATGAGTTCCCCTTAGAAAGTTCTTCACAAAGGCATTTTTTCCCTTTAGCAGATAACCTTAGTGTACTTTGCCATAATTAACTGAACCCAAACCAAAGCAATCAATTTCTGTTTTGTTGTCCATTTCTAGTTGTTTTCTGCATTTAATAGATCTTAATTCTCTCAACCAGCTGTAAATGAACAGGAGTGCAGTCTCAAATGTGATTTTGCATGAATTAAAGAGAATCAGTGGGAGTCGTGAGTGTGTTGTGATGTTATGCTTATCCATAATTGGCGCAAAATTGTTCTGCTTGCTGACAGTTCCACGGTTAAAAGGATATTACGTAACTGAGTTCATTAGAAGGCAGAGACAGCTATAGACAACAGCAAGCTGATGAAATTGCCAAAGAATTCTTCTGGAAATCAAAAAACCTATTTAAACTAGCTGCTGATGTTAAAAATATAGTTAATTTAGAAATGACTTCAGTAGATTGTTGATGATGTAACAGAAGGTATCAACTAATATCCATGTACTAATTATATTGCAATTTTTTTCAGCTATGTGAACATTTTCACTGTTGTACAAACTGATTCTAATTTCAAATATTCCATATAGTAATTTAAATATAGTTCTAATAGTAACTAAGGCCCAACTATAGTAGTAATTTAACTATAGTAGTTTAGTAGTAACTAATGCCATATATTAATTTAAATTAAGCATTTGTTTTTGTATCAAGAAACAGATACTTTATTGTGTTTATTTAGTGATTTATCAAAGAAAAGTTTTTTTTTTTTTTTGTTGTTGTTGTTGTTGTAGTTAGTTTTTCCTTTTTCAGTTGTATAATTATTTTTGCTTGTATTACTTACAGTTAAATCTGCTGTAGCTACAGTAGCAGTTGGAGCAGCTGCAGGAGTAGGAATTGCAGTTGCAGCTCTACCTTTAGCAGGATTTACAACAGCTGGTGTAGCTGCTGGATCTGTAGCAGCTGCAGTTCAAAGTTCCATAGGCTGCGTAACAGCAGGAAGTACTTTTGCTGCACTTCAGAGTGCTGGCGTTGTAGGTTTGGCAGCTACAACAAAAGTTGCTGCAGCAGGTACTGGTGGTGCCGTTGCAGAGGGTACCCGTAGAATCATCCGTTATTTAAGGAAATGAAAATCATAGAGGTCATGTTTGATGCAGAATTTATATAATTATTTCATGCTTTGATATGTAAATTTGAGAATTTTCTTTTATATTTTGTGCTTAAGTATTATAAGTTAAATGCAATATGTTTGTTAACACTTATTTGCTTTGAATGTATGTAATAATTTATGATCATTTGGAATTGCAACATCCAAAACTGATAAAAGTATTTTAAATATAATTCACTATTATGGAATTAAATATTAATGCTAGAATATGCATTGTCTAATTTCAGAATAAAAGTATAAAAATATAGCATTTATTTGCCTTTTATGAGAATCTAGTAGCCATATTAAATACCTGCATGCATGGAAAAGAAGTAACTTAAATTGATGTAATACATAAGTATTGAAAGGATTACCTATAATTACTATGTATTTTATATTTTATATCTTCTTATTGTAAAAATTTGATATTGTGGAAATTGTAAAATATATTTTGAATTAAAAGATTTATCAAGATGATATATTAAAAAAAATAATTTTGTGAATTTATTTTTAAAATATTCTAATAAGAAAAATTATCCAACCTTGAACTCTTAGTTTTTTAAGGAAATAAATATGAACTATAAATGCATAATAGTAAAAAATTAGTTGTTAATATTCTTTGGATTATCTGAAGAGGGAAAAATTATTAATAATGCAGTATTTAATTTTTTAACTTATTTTTTTTAATGACCAAACTGTTTGCAGTTTCTATGCATTGCTTTATTTCCAGTAATTTCAAATGTTTTGATGAAAATGCATGTCCACTTTTCCAACAAAATGTAATATGTTCTTACTTTAAAATGATTAAGGATAAAAAAAAAGTGCATTTTATTCTACACACACAAAAATGAAATTTCTAAATTTAAATTAACTGTTAAATTTCTATAAATGAAACAAAGAAATAAAAATTTTAATCACCAGATGTAAAATTTCTCCTAGAATTTGCCTTCTGGTAAAATTGTTTTCTTTTCACTAGTTTTAAAAAAATACTCATGTGCTTGGTGACCTTGCAAAGGACTGCAGTCTGTCATTTGAGATAAATTAGTCAAATTCTTTCTCTTTTATATAATCGTATATATATATATGCACGATATATTTATATAATCATATATATGTATGTAAAATATAAAATTTAGCTTTCAAATAATAAATTAATAGCCCTTTAACTTCTCTCTTCATCCTAAAAATAACAGCTATAAAGTTTCTAAACGAAAAAGACCCATCATTTAATATGTATTGTGCACTAATGGATAAAACCTGAACCCAACACCTCTACATTAAACTGCCATGTGATCTGAAATGGAATTTGGTATAAAAAGGTCAACTGCGCACAACGCTTTTTCTTCGTTCTTTCCTTCTGCTTCCCGACACTTGTGTTGCCTTGCGTCATCTATCCATGCAGATTTAATTTTTCTAATTTTCATCCTTTAAGATGGTACAAAATTGGAGGGTGCATAGCACACCCACAGTGATAATGTGAATTATCCAAGAATAAAATTATGCATGGAATTTACCGTTAGTATGTCCTTCGAGTTGGCATCTTGCAAACTACCCAGCAAAGTCTTCAAGTTATGATACAGTCTTCTCCGACCCAATTCATTACAACTCTCACCAAGTCATCTTATTTCATCTAATAACGCAGTCTTATCACATGTATAAGATTATACATACGCACATATATGAAAGTTGAGCCAGTGTACTTTAGAATGTCTTCCAAGAAGCAATCCCTTCCCTTAGGCAGATAGCCCTCAAGTGCATAATCAAATAAACCAAACTCAAATGCAAACTTCTTTCATTTTTAGGTTGATTTTTTTATTTTTGCAAGCCGAAAATAATTTTTAGCTTGCAGTCAAATTGATTGAAAAGTTAGGAAATTAGAGAAACACAGGGCTTTTAATTTTAAACTACACCTTTATTTGGTGGTATAAATACAGACAAGGAGTTGTTAATGATGTTTCTAAATTATATAAACAGACTTTACAGGAGAAGAAATTAACCTGAAATATCTGATTTTTGTGATTTTAAAACAGTCTGAGAGTTCAAGAAAAATTGTAGTTTACGAAATAATTTCTTGCCTTATCCTTTGCAAGGATTTGGGTAACAATTTGAGTGTGAATTCACATCTTTTTTTTTTTTTTTAATCAGATTTTGAATAAAAAACGCAAAAGCCTCAGTCATTATCGCAGGATCCTAATGAAAAGGTTGTAAAATTCTAGCATAGTGTGAGATACACACACAAAAGAAACGTAGTTTGCTCTGTGTTCAAAGTTAAATTTAGGTATGTGAAAAAATTTGTGGCATTTTTGTTGTAGGAAGACAGAGCTGCAAAAGTGTTGGGGAGGGGGTAAGAAATGGTATTTTTATAGTAAACTGGCTTGAATTGATGTTATCAATTGGGAGAACCATAAAAGGTTCCATGCAACCAGTCCATTAGTTGGGTTTTGAATTTCCACCAAATTTTCCTTTGTTTTAGTGATTTTTGCTCTCAGCCAATATAGTTGTGCTATGTTAAAATATCTACAGTTATAAGATATCCTTATTTTATAGTAGGGGTGGCCAACATTTTGAGTGCCACCATCTGAAAAAAACAGTTGTGTGCCACTTCCAGTATACTAATTGAAGAGGGAAGAAACAGTATTTTTATGGTAAATTGGCTTGAATTGATGTTATCTATTGGGAGAACTATAAAAGTTTCCATGCAGCCAGTCTGTTAGTTATGTTTTGAAATTCCGCCAAATTTTCCTTTGTTTTAGTGATTTTTGCTCTCGGACGATATTGGGTTTGCGTTTCTGAAATTTGCAATTCTATTCAGTTCTATAAGGGTAGATTGTGTAAAAAAAATATTAGGATAAGGATATCTCAAAAGGGCAGTATGAGATATCCTTATTCTATAGCAGGCGTGGCCAACATTTTAGGTGTCACCATCTGAAAAAAAAAAAAAAAAAAAATTGTGTGCCTCTTCCAACTTTTCCAGCATACTAATTGGGTAGGGAAGAAACAGTATTTTTATGGTAAACTCTCTCGAATTGGTGTTATCAATTGGAAGAACTGTAAAAGTTTCCATGCAGCCAGTCCGTTAATTGGGTTTTGAAATTCTGCCAAATTTTCCTTTGTTTTAGTGATGTTTGCTCTCAGACGATATTGGGTTTGCGTTTCTGAAATTTGCAGTTCTATTCAGTTCAGTAGTTGTAAGTTGGTGTAAAAAAATTATTGCTTTAATCATTTTTTTTATTGTATGCTGTCTAAGCTACATACATTCAGGTCATAGTCAGCGTAATTGTTATCATATAAAGCATGCAATAGTTGTGCTATGTTAAAATATCTACAGTATGAGATATCCTTATTCTATAGCAAGGGTGGCCAGCATTTTGAGTGCCACCATCTGAAAAAAAAAAACGTTGTGTCCCACTTCCAACTTTTCCAACATACTAAATAATATAAAATGGTGAAAAAATTTTATAGGTTGATTATGAGATTTTTACCCAAATAGCGCATTTTTTTACAGTCTGAGTACTGGAGTCTGAGGCACCTTGGAGATGTTTATACACTCCAACTGAAGTCCCGATGCCCACGTTACCAGGAACAACAACTTCAAAAATTATCTCCACCTAAAAAACAGGCCAACCTCTACACTGGTGAACTAAGACCTCCGTTCCAGTGATCAGAGACCATGATGGGATGGGCTGATTGCCTGGAGCTTTGACTGGTTGTTTATAATGCTACTCGCCAATACTGCACGGGCAACCCCCCCCAGGCCTTACTCGGAATACCAGACACAGCGGTGACTGGATGCCCAATGGACCAGGTGTTATTTGGCTACCGATGCCCTAGTTACGGGGATTTATGCCACCAGACCAGTGAAGAGTGGATATGAGCCCCACCCTATAGATCGTTGGGAACCGCTAAGCTCGTAATTTGTATACCCCCGTGGCCGAGACTGTCTAGGTACAGATCCTAGCCAGTAGCTTCACAGAGTACTCTACGTCGACACCCGAGATGGTATAACGGTGTAATAATGCCAACACTGTTGGAACTCATGTACCACGCAAAATAAATCCCTCTTAAAAAATTAAAAAGGAAAAAATCGCATTTAAAAAAGGATCGCACAAAAACAGGTTTGGTTTGATTGTGCTTGTATGCCAGACTTCGGGACTAGGGTAGTACTTGAGAATTTCCCCCGTTGATAAAATCGGTAAATTTAATTAACATCAGAGACTAATCCCTAGATCGGCGAAAAAGTTGGAAAAAAAAACAAATGGACAATAATTAGAAATTAATATTATTTCCATTATTTTTAATTATTGTCGCAATTCAATTAAATAGAATTGAATTGCAACAATAATTAGAAATAATGGAAAATGAGAGTGAAAAATAGCAAGAAAGGGAACCCTTCAGTCGAACGATGAAACGATATAGGACTTTGTGGGATTTCCTTCACCTCCAAGATGAAGTTCTCTACCGTAAATGGGAATCGAATTGACCTTTAGATGGCTTCTTATCTTGCCAAGATCTTGAGTTCTCAGTGTTGATTTTAAGGATTTTATGAAAGAGAGCTTATCAGTGTCGATTAAGTAACTGGAAACATGTCTATTTTGTCTAAGTATCCATTTAATTATAAAACTATTACAGAGATTTTCAGAAATATAAAAAGGCACATTCATTTCTAACGGAACTGGTGGTGCTTAATTTCAACACCATCCTGATAGGTGACATAAGCAAATTAACTCTGGAATCAGTTTTACCACCATCCGTATAGCACACAATCGAGAAAGAATTTTCATCAACATCCATACTATCCAAAATTTGTACTAATTTTCTTACAAGTGGATGAGGAAGAGCAGTAAATGAATAAATTGAGAATTAGAACAGTTGGAAAGTTTATCCTTGTAGCCTATGCATATAAATATGTTCAGCGGTGAAAATCCGTCAAGAGTAAAGACAGCATTATAACTAAGAGTTTGGTAACCCCTTATAACTCGCAGCAGAATTCGCTTCTCAAATCGACGCAGACTATTAGAGCTAATCTTCTTTTTCAGGGGCTATTCCCAAGCTCTACGTGGAAAACAAACATATGAAATGAAGGTAACAATACTTTATTTACAAATAATTGCACTAGCATTTGATTTAACACCAAAACTATTACATGCACTTACATTCAGTCCAAGCTGAAGTCTCTCACATTTACTGGAAATATGTTTTATCTAGTTAAATTTGCTGTTCATTAAAATACTTAAATATTTAATTTTATCCGCCATTCCAAGGAGATTGTCATTATTTAATTTTATCCGCCATTCCAAGGAGATTGTCATTAAAAATCAGTTGATATACATCATAAGTAGTATTTCTTCTATCGATGAGCATCATTCTAGATTTTGCATAATTATATTTTAACTTGAAACTTGTCAACCATTAACAACTAAAATTTAAAACATCTTGGTGAAGGGAAAAAAAACCCTGCCACTCTTTTTCCTGAACAAAGATCAACAAATGAGCA